GGGGCCGCCCCGGGGTTGGGCTGGGTGATCTCTAGGGGTCCCTTCCAACCCAAAACATTCTGTGATTCTATGAACCGGCGGCGGGACGGCAAACCCCGCGGGAAGGGGAAGCCCGCGCTCCAGAGCTGTAGCCCTGTCTCCCTTAGGAGCTTTGTGTGAAACGTTGGGGTTTGGGTTTTTTTTGTTTTCTTAACGCTGTCTCTTAAATCCTTCTGGTGATTAAATCCTGTAACTCGAGGATTGTCACCTCTTTGCTCCAGATCACGGTAAAAGACATTGAAGACTTCGAAAAGAGCTATAAAGATTCAGAAGAAGAGCTGGCTGATATTAAAGCAGCGTACGTGGATTTTGAGGGTGACATGGACAGAATAATGGAGTCTGTGTTGTGTGTGGACTATACAGATGAACCAAGAATACGGAAAATCATAGAAAAAGCCATTGACTCTAGAGAAGTCCCATCCTACAAAGCTTTTGTAAAAGAGTCTAAGAAGAAAATGATCGCAAGAAAAAGGCGGGTAGGTTATAGCAATCAGGGACCGACAGGAAACATTGTTTATTATAAGCTTTTAATCTCCTTTGGTAGAAATAAATTAAACCATTCTTAAGAAAAATGTTTGCCACAGGATTCCTGGGTCACAGGTCTTGCTCAGTGCCTCTGACTTTCACATGTAGTCACCTGTGTTCGCCACCCCCACCCCCCAAATTGCAGTGAAAGGCTTTTGAGTTGTAACAGGCTGTTGCCTATTATTTCTTTTATTTTGTTATTGCACAACAGCTTATTACAGTTTAGCGTGTCCCTGCCTTTATTTACAAAGCCATGAGTTGCTGGAGTTAAGAAACATATGTGGGGTGGAAATATATCATGCTTGCCTTTTGGTAAGTGTGAAATAACGTTCTGGACTAAATAAACCTCTTCTCCAACCTGTTTGGTGGGGGGGGGGACGGAGGGGTTGACGCTTTATGTTACATGCACATCACAGTAACCTTTCTCCAACGTAAGAAAATGTAATAACCACTAAGACAAAAGAGTGTGGGTGCGGGGAACAGGGATGAGGATGGACATCTCGTCGTGTTCAGCATTGTGAAACGGCAAAAAACTAAATCGCAGAACGAGAATGGGCGTTCTGTTTGACTGACATCTCATCTGTGGCCAGACTCGGAAACTTTTTGTGTTTCCGTGCAGCTCTTTATATACAGATGCAAAATAAAGTCTTTGGTAACTACTCTAAGACTTTGTCAAATAACATGCGAAATACTTTTTAAAAACCTAGTTTGCTATTTTAGGCAGAAAAAGAAGCTAAAGAGGCAGAAAAGACGAAAGACGAACTGGGCCTTGGTGGAGAAGATGACTTGAAAGCGCTGATTCAAGTAAGGCTTTTTTATCTGTTGAAGATAATTGTGTTACTGGCTTATAATTGTGTTTTCCCTGAGCATCTTTGTATTTTGTATCCTTGCAACTCTTTGGGGTTCCTGAGGTTAAAATCTGACCTTAATATTAACCACCTGTGTACTTTAGTAGTCAGGGTATAACATGGATTTTGTTACCTGTATCTTTTTAAAAAAATTAACAAAGTTTTTCTAATATGCTTATCCTTACTGCATACACAATCAAAGTATTTAACTTCTAGTTTTAGGCAGTTAGACAGGGAGTGTTAATGGTTTGTTCTTTCTGAGGGATTCCACAAGGATGTTGAAGTTGATAAGTCCTATTATTTTGCTTTTTTATCTTGGGGATGGAGGACGGAAACATACTGTTTATGTCCTGGTTTTCAGAATGTTTTCCATTTCTTACTGTCCAGTTGGCTTCCTGGAATGTTCATGCTTAATCATTCCTCAAATTGTAATAGAGTTTTGGGTCTAAACTTAGAAATTGCTTTGCTTTTCCTAGCCTTATATCGTGATTTTTTTTTTTTTTAATAGCCAGTCTTTCCCTCTGTCTTGATACTTCCAGAAGTTGTGCATAGAGCCTAAAGTACGCAAGTAGGTTGTTGCTTGACAGTACTGTCCCTCCTGCAGCTTGTATTCCCTGTTTAAGCGATTCCGAGATTTTATGTAGCTCTCTAACTTCTGTTGAAAATCTGTATTGGGAAGTAGTAAAGGTTTTTTGGTTTTGTTTTTTTTTTTTTCCCCTCCCCCAGAGCAGAAATAAAGATCGACAAAAGGAAATGGATGACTTTTTGGCCCAACTGGAAGCAAAATACGGGAATAATGCTAAAAAAGGAGGAAAGAAGACTGCAGCCAAGAAAGGAAGGAAATAAAGGAACTGTGTAGGCTGAAATATCGGGTATAATTTTGTATGGGAACACGTAGATTTGGGAGAATTTCAGAGTTATTCTGGACTACTGTTTCAGAGCGTGTGTGCATCAACTTGCTGTGACTGGGAGGTACGATAGAGAACGCGCACCGTGAAGAAGACAAAGCATTCTGGTGCTACTGTAAAAATAATCCTTTGGGTGCTCTTCCGTTAAGATCAAACAGACTCTTGACCAAATGTTTTGTTACAGTAAGGAAGCGGTGCGATGTTTGGGATGCCTGGGTGTTTATTAAACTGGTGTTGAAGCACCTTTCTTCCAAACGCCTAATAGGTATCAGTACAGCCGATGGTGAAACAACATAATCCCACCCCTTTGAGAGTCTTCAATGATGGTTCCCCTGGCTTCTGACTGAGAAACCTTATCTTTTTGCTAGTCACATGTTTCTTTTGTAACAAACCTGCTGTTTGTAAAGGTCTTTGCACTGCAGCTCATCAGGTGTTTTTCAGGTATTCCCTTGGTTTTATACAGATACTTTGGAAAAATGCAGATTTAATAAATGTAAAGTTTTTGCAGAATTCTGTGTTTCCCCAGCCCTTTCTACGCTTCCTAAGTAGCTGTTCAAAACTAATCATGTTGACTCTCTTCTGATTTTAGTCAAGTAAATACTACATACTTCTATAGCAGCTGGAAGTATGGTTATATTGTTGTATACTGTCAGTGCTGGTGATGCTACGTGAGATGGAAGGGCCACCTCGTGTCTGGCCTTTGACTGCCTGTGGCAGGTGCCTTAGGAAGAACGCGAGATTGCAGCATGTATGTGACTATGCAGAAATTCTTTAACACACTGAGGTGAGGTAATAAACTTAAAAATCCACAGAACAGTCAGTTGTGGGTATTTCTAGGGTGCGTGGTGCCCCGTGACAAGGCGTTGCAAAGCTGAAAAACGCAGTGCATGTTATTTCCATAGCATCATGGTCAAGGACGGTCATGATTAGCTACTTCATTGCACTTGTCAACACTTCTGTTACTTCAGAAGTGAATTGCTCCTGTTAAGAGGAGGTTGCAGGTTTTTGCTTCAGCTGTTTTTAAACCACTTGCTGTCGGGTGCAGGGGTATGAAGTTGAAGGGTCACTAGTTTTCAACTTACTGTAGCTCAAAGGAAACGAGGCTGGCTTTATTTGATGGATCATTTTTCAAAGGCCTATGAGCCATAGGGTGAACACCTGCTTTTAAGTTGAAGGTCCTCACTGCTTCAATGATAGCATCAGGAACTGGCTGTTTAGTAGAGCTTCCCAGGGGGAAGCCAGAGGTAGAAAGGTAACTGTTCCCTTTTACTTGGCTGCTTTCAAAAATTACCCTAATTCTGAGAGTGTACAGCTATTATTATGTGGCATAACACGTGACTTGAATGTTACTTTTACTATACAAAAGAGATATCTAACAGCCCAGAAGTCTCTGGTGTCAACCATTTGTACAGAAACAAAACATTACCTTCTGATGAGTCTGCTTTCCCTTTTTTAACAGATTGACTCCTCTAGGCTATAAAATACTATGTTACCTGAAGTCTGTTCAAGTTTATTTGTACGTTTTTGCAAGACTCATGCACTAGGGCTACAGAACACTAACTTGGTCCCTGAGGAATGGCACAGATATAAACAGCTTGCTTATCTCCAGTTAGCGCGAGATAACTAAACAACATGCTCTACAATGTTCCAGTAGTCTTAGCTGTTAAGGGAAATTGTATTTTGAAAGGGTTTAGTGAATAGAGGCCCCTCTTCAGCATCAGTTTATGCAAACTTTAAGAGATTTAGATTGAGACCAGAGCTTTCCTCCCTTCCCACCCCTCTAGAAATGCAAAGGAAAGTTAACCTAGTTACATTTGCACAGTTCTGCTTTGCTTTCTTTTCCCTGCTTTTTGATTAGAGCATGCTTGGATCAGCTGGGCTCAGGAACTTCAATACTGGTTAAAAAATACTCGCTGTTCTGTAGGTACCACTAACGTTTGACAGATTGCATAACTTAGAGTGGGGAGGTGGGAGCCACTTCATAGAGAATACTGACAAGTGTCTTCCATTATGAACTGCAATTTGAAAAATACGAGTAAGGAAATTTAGAAAAAAAGTGCTCTTTAATTGGATTATAAAGGAAGAACTGTTTTCATGCAGCGTCCTAACTTGGTTACAATCCAGCAAGTGATTATCCTCACCTCGTCTTTACGCTTCCCTGTAGTCTGGCGCTTACTGCTTGGGAGTAAGAAAGACCTTCAGTTAATCACTTATTTTGAGAAGCGCACATTACATGTTTTTGTCTGGTTTGGAGCCACAGGGGCAACTCCAGCTAACGCACACAGTGCAGAACACACCTACTAAAAGCTACGTTGCACCTGGGGGTTGTGGAACTTCATGGCGGAGTGCAGAAACCTTGTATAATTGCAGGTATTTTTAGAAAGGGAAGACCAACCGATTCTGTGAAATTAGCGTAAAATATCTCACGAGGAAGACAATGTACTTTCTCTGAATACTGTCTGGAACTACTTGCAGTAGGAGACTCCTTTTTTTGCCTCTTAAACGTTTTTCTTCAGCCACTGAGGAAGAGGTATAAGTACGTAACGCAGGAAGAGTCAGGGGTGCGTTACCCTTGCAGCTGCCAGCTCTCTTCGTCTGGTTTGCTACCTCCGCTTTACACAACTGTGTTAATACCTGCTGCAATTACTACAGGATTTGTAACTTGTCTAAGATGAGTGGTAGAAGCACTATTATCTGCAGTGCTTGCTTTTGATAGTGTAATATTGCTTTAAACATATAAATACAGCTTGAAAAATCTAAATTACTACTGCTATGGAAAACCTGGTTTCTCTTCTGTAGAGCTAACAGAAAAATCAGCGGGTTTTGCAGTGCCCGTCTGTAACAACGTCAACCAGCAACAAGCCAGTAGTGGGGAAAACAGCAGTGACTTGAGAGCATTTGCTAGATTGTCTAGGCGCTAGGCTTCACTGCCCACTGGAGTATATTCACCCTTCCACTGGAGTATAACTCTTTCTACCGGTAGAAAATGGAATGTTTAAGTATACTCCACCTAATCTTTGGCAGCCGCTTCTTAAGATTTATATAAAAATAGTTATTCACAAGGAAGGGTGTTTGAAAACTCTCTGTAAACAATGTTGGCATGGCTGAGGATGAGAGGTGGTTCATGACTCCCTGGAGATGGACGGATGCTTCTTTCTGGCACCTTAGAACCCCTGCTTGCTTTTTGTGACTGATCCGCTTCGGCTGTGGGCTTTCACAGAACCGTGCAGCTGAAGACCTAATAAACAGAGATCATGTACAACTTTAAGGCCTCTGGAAGGTATTAAAACTAAGTACCAGATAAATCTCCTTTGGCTTAAAACTAAAATGCTTTTTTTTGGCTTTTTATAGAATAGTGGCTATCAACTGCATTCTGTATAATTTGGGCAAGTTTGAGACAAGTGACTGGGCTTCCAAAAGATGCAAAGTTTGTGCTTTCACAGCTGTGCATTGCAGGGAACTTACTTACTCTATTCCCTCCTATTTCATGAAGTACTCAAGCCTTCAATGTTCTTCTGCTGACTTCAGTTTTTTTAATCCAACAGTCATAAAACCCATCTGGCATTTAAATCTATG